GTTATGCAAACTTTAAGATATCAAAATTAACAGAACGTGCACAATTTTCAACAGATATTCAACTTCTATAAAATTTTCATCATTTATGAAATAAATATTTAACCATTTAGTCCTTTTAGGAGAAAAATCATCAACGTATCTTCTAACAATCATCAACGTATCTTCTAACAAAGTCAAAATAGAAAATTTGTAAGCATTATGGCTATATGACTGGAAATAGACCGCGTTTTGTCATAGCTGTCTGTCTCCATTGTGATGTTAACTTCCTAGTATAAAATGAGAAATGACTTCAAGAAGAATGCCTCATTCTGATTTCAGAATAACAACGGAGGGATTCCGAGGGAGACTTATTCTTGCCAGGTAGTCGATTCTGAAATTATCGATCGCATTTTAAACGAATCCGGATTTTTGTACCACGATGATAGCAAAAGTAACCCCTCTTTAGGGAATCTTCTAAGTGCTTATCGAAAATACATAGAACGTATTGGAAAAAGAGTGTACAACGAACATGTTAACGTCAGGAAAAATCTGACATTGCGTATCAGGCTGTGCGATGAAGAAGGTGTTACAGGTGCACCTGTGAAACACATCGATATAATATCAGGTAAAGGCATAAACAGAATAGAATGCAGCCGCAATGAGGACGGATCTCTAAGTTGGATGCGACGTCAGGTATGTCCATGTAACCAACTTAGTAGTTTCCATTGAACGTTTGCTGAATAAAATTTGAATTTCATTAGAAAAAAATCTTGAAACATATCGGTTTGTTGTTTACTGAAATAACTAATCGAAATTAATCAATTAATCAATTGCTATAACATAAATTTCAGACTCGTTAAGACTACCTGTATGTCATGAAATAGAAAAAAACCACATTAAATATCCTTTACATATTATAACAAACGTTTATGTTTTTCACAGATTGAAGAAATCCGGGGTGTAAGTATGCTGTGAAATACTCGAAAGGCATATACGAAAGGTGGCGCAGAACATTTCGGGTTAAAATGCCACTAATAATTCCTACATTTTTAAACCATCTTTTAAATTAAGAACAGTGTTCGAAAAATAATAATATACGTCTTTTTCTTGTATTTTATATGCTGGTTTTTATTGTGATACATTCTTTTTCATGATATGCAGTTTTGGGTACTGCAGGTTCTGGAGTACACCCTTGTCTCAAAAGTGAAACAACTTGCATTACAAAAATCTCGCCATCGCAACAAATAGACAATTGTTATCAAAAAGATTAGCTACAGAGCTTGGATGTGTATGTCTCTCCAGATCTATGCACCTTTGAAATATTCAATCCTAAGCAAAAATTACGATACATTAAGAAATGTATTTCTAATTCAGATATGTTTTTAAATAATATTATTACGGTGTTTTCAGGAAACGACGGAAACATATCAATGCGAGAACGAAATCACCTCTGAGAGTATTTTAGATGTTATGAATAGGTCAAGGTTCCTCGTTCATGACTATGATGGATTGAAAGATGATCAACGCAAAAAGGATGACGATCATCGCAATCTTGTAAAGTGTGCGGCACAGAGAGTGAAAGATGAAAGGAGCAATGTGAGGAAAAACCTTACAGTCCATTTGATTTTGATTGATACCAAAGAGGAAACAAATAGTTTTGTTAAACACATAAAGATAGTATCTGGAAACGGTGATAGCGTTATAGAATGTTCCTTGAAGGATGGAAACATTATTTGGGATCATCGGAATGAAGACGAGACGGCTACTACAATCAGGCAGTTGCTAACCTATATATCAACCATAGATTTTCCTGCACTGATATCAATCTTCACAAATTTTCCTAGATTGATAGAAACAATGCAGCAAGTTTGTATTGCAATGGCAAACTTTTTATAGGTGCCTCAAGTAGACAACCAATAACAACTGACTATGAGGTGTTTGACACAATTCCGTCTGTGATTAAGTATTTCTGATTATGCAAGGTGTTCTTTATCAAATTCGGCGTGTTCTTTAATAAGGTTTAGCATAGTTGTACTCTCTTTATATCAATGATGAACTTTCTCCTAGACTGGAATAAGTATATTGATAATGTTCATTAATAACTGTAAAACTACTGTTATTTTGTGACGTTACGATGTTATTCAGTGAATGTATCATATCATAGTTTTGTGTATAATTTATCTGTACGTATATGTTAATTTTTTGTTATTGTAAGGCAATTTGATTACTTTGTCTGAAAGTCCAACAAATGATGAAATGAATCAAGATCCTTGCTTGTTCTTCATTTCTAGACATGTCCCGTTACAGTACATAGGTTGACAGATAAAACACAATTTACATTTTACTTCATAATTCTTCTCGTTTATTTTAATATATGTATGTGAATATGTTTTTATTTTCAAACCATCTTAATTTAATTGTAAATTCATCATTATTGAACAAGAACAATGAGTACTTTAAGTTTTATTTCCATTTGAAACTCAATCTTGCAAGCCCGAGATTTTAATTACATATGATTTACAGATACGTATTGTATTTTTATTTGAATATGTTGACAACATTTCTACATTATTTTTTCATTATCAGTATATGTCTTCTTAAAGCGTCTGAGTTGGCGATCACGCAAGAACATACATGGTTGTGTGTATTTAACAAAGCCAATGACTGAGTTGTAATAATTATCTTGTTCGGTGTTTGTTTATTGATTATTTAAATCTATTTCTTCACGCGACTGTAAGTTATGGTGTGTAAAATAAACGGATCAATTAAAGACACAAAACAAGACGACATACAAAAACGAAAAACGAATCCACGACGAGGCGATCGACCCAATACAAAGATAATGCAAAAGTGGTATCATAAGATATATACAAACAGGTGATAGGAGGCGGATCATATATATATATATATGATATTCATTAAAATATAAGTGTGCAGGAAAAGAAATCATAAGTGCACAAAATTCAAAAGATACTTTCTATCCGTCTTTTGTTCCTCTAATAAGTCAGTCAAAATGATAATTTATTTTTTATATTTTTCATTAAGGTATAAATGTATTTTTCTTCATCTTTATGAACATTGATTAAATGTAACCATTTTCGGGACCTGTATGTGACTTTGGAGCTATCGTTAAAATCCATTCTTTGTCTGTTTTCTATTCGGGCATCTATACATAATGTATCTATATTTCAAAGGCAATCCGTTAATAAAAAATAAAATATATATATATGAATAAAATGAGTACAAACGACGCCTTATCACACTTCCCAATTAGCCATGTGGATCTTTTTCCCATCAACTCTGTCACCATAGTTTACCTGAGAACTGATTTATTGACCACGCCCATCGTATATACCCAACAGAACTGGAAATTGAGAACAAGTCAAACTCTTCTACATCAGCCACTTACCTTGTTCTGTTCATAAAACGAATCTAATATGGACAACTTTCATCAAGCTGTATGATAAGCAGGATGATTTCAATTTATCTACTCGGAATTTTCATTACGATTGTCTGTCATAATGATCTCAATGAGAATGTCTTCCTTCTTTGTTCGATATGATGCTCTTTAGGTTGCCTGTTGGTTTCGTTGTTGTATATCTTGTACTCATTAGAAAACATGACATACTTGAATTGAACAAGATTTGCATGGCAAATGTCGCCGATGAAGTAGAAATCGCCTACTCTTCCGGAACAGCTGGTCTAGTAATTTTCGTTGTACTGTTACTCTGTGTTACTCTTTTTTCACATTTTGCATCTTGCAATAGTTTTATTGAATTTGAGCTTGAATTATATTTCCCTTTTTACAACCAATCCGTATATGTAAAATCAAGACCACACTAATATATATTATTATATATAATTATTATACAATTTTCCTCCTCTATCGGGACTCTGAAAAGTGAATTCCAGTACTGTTCCATCTTTTAATATAGGCATGTCTTCATAAAGGTGCTTCTATGGATATAGAAAACCATTACACAAACGTGTATCCATTGTAGTAGCGATTCTATCACCAGGATGTAATCATGGGTATCGTCTCTCAGACCTTAAAATGTTCCCTGATTTCGTTGTAACAATGGAAATAAAAGACAAATGTATTAAAAAGATAATCATAAGACATAAAAAAAGGATTTCAATAATTTCAATTATTGCTCAGATTTTTATTACCAATAAGCTGCATATAATGGATATGTTATAGATCCTGTACAATCAGGAATAGAAAGAATGATTAATCAATATATTTTTTGTTTTTTTTTAAACGAATGAAAACATTACCTTGAACAGTTCCAAGAAATCACATTTTTATATGATTCCAATAAATAGAGTATTGTCACACAAAAACATTTAAAAAATATCGAAATTTTTAAACCAAAAATATCACAGTTAAATCATATTCTTGAGTATAGTAGAATTATTAAAAATTCATAATATAAAATCAGATCTAATAATTTCTAAACTGTTTTAAAATTATATACATTTAAAATTATAAGTTATAAAAAGGAACGAATTACATATATGTAAGGAAAAAATCGAAAACATTACATTTTCATACTGATCACTATTCAAGGAGTAACCTTCAGTTTATTTTTCTTCATCACACAATGTATTTCAATCTGTTGTTTACTTCCATATTTCGATGATTGACCTCATCGAGACTTTTTTTCAAACAATATCGCCATTACATGTATTTTCATTTTGAGTTTAATCTTTTTTTAAACTGCCTAAGACGGGATGCATACTTTGTGCCATTGATTGTTTGTCTCCTTTGCAGATAATTAACCATCAGAATACCATTAGCATTCCAGAAATCCGAGTCTATAATCTTTCCAGATGATAGATCATTCTTTGCCCTCTTTGACGGGGGTAAACCAAATTGCTTCCATTGTTTAGGCTGTTGTTTAGCTTCTGGTGTAAAATGGTAATCCCCATGTTTCATCTATAGTCACAAACCTTTTCTAAAAAGTTCAAATTATTCCGCGACAAAGTCCGCCTGTTGTGCTTCTGATCAACAGTTAAATGCTGTTTCCAGTGACATCCAAACCGTACTGACTAAATATCTCTCTGTAAATCGCCTGTCCTCTCAGTCCAGCATATGTTTTGGGATGTTTTTAACGCATTACACCAACCATAGATTAACTAAAGGTATCCCTAATATTTGTTTTAAAATTACTTGTTTCCACTTTTGATAATAAAATCATACTATTGACATCATGTCTACTTCAGCACAAACTACATGGTTATATTAATGACATCCATTACTACAGTTAAAAGGGTTATGTAATGAGAGATATGTCCACTGCCTAGTGACTTTAATATTGTTTAAACTAAACACATTTACATCTCCGTATAAGTACAGTTGGTACCCCAATCTTGAAATTAACACCTCAAAACGGCATTTCTCAAACTAAATCTTGATCTCACTCTAGTTCAATCACGATCTAAAGAAAACCAAAAAGACACTCTTGGTACAATAAAAAGTTAACGTGGTGGCGTTTGGGTTATCATTGGTTAACCCCATATCCGGTTCCAGTTATGGATAACCAGGTTGTGGGTAACCAGGTTGTGGATAGCCTGCAACTCCTGCTTGTTGAATTCCTGGCTGTTGGACATTTGAGTGCATCACAAACACCTGTGGTCCCGCGGGAGCTACCGAAGGGGCGACAGTCTGTGGAACGTCCATCTGACTAGCTACAATGCACATTGCTATAGCGGCCACAATGGATCCTGCACCAACCACAGCAGCTAAGTAGAAGGAATACCCAAGACTGATTTCAAACAGGGAGGTCAAGGACAGCAGTGTTTTAGAATCCTCATATTGGGTGATGTAGAACCAAACCACAGCAGCGATAATGCAACCACCTGATGAAGAAATGATTCATACTGTAGAAATATTTGAGTTATTACAATAACAAAATGTTCACACAGGAAAACTTTAATGCCAATCTGGTGAAGTTCATTTAGAGTGTAAACTCTCTATACCGGATCACCATCATATGAACATATAAACACACTGCATATTTTTAACGATATATGTGAAGATGTGCAGTATGAATATTCTGAACAAGTAGTCCATGGTAGAATCATTTTTACTTGATTTTGTTCTTCAGAGTACAGCGTCGTTTAAGTTTTCTAAAGCATCGTCTTTAAATAATGACTGAATATAACCTTAGAAACTAAAAAATATATTTGTAAATAAAATCTAATATCTAACATACTACTACTAATAACATATAGACAAAAGGTAAATATCAATGAGCCTCACCAACCCAAACTTGCTTCCATATAAATAAGTATGGGCGTTATGGTAATAAAAGGTCGAATACCACTTCCGTGTTGAATGTATTGTTCATTATTTTGATATTGTAGAAAGTTAATGTGTCTTTATTCTGTAGTTCAGAGGATAGAAATGCTTGTTGAAAAGGGATTATTATTTTCACTTTCGGTTTCTGGAAAATTCACTCATGATCATGACGCATCTAAACATATTCCTGACTGCCAAAATGGAATTGCACAGCAACTGATTCATTATGTTTGAATAATTATGTTAGAGGTTTTTAACTAGGCCATAAGCATTTTTATCGCAACATAAATGTGTCTATATATTACAAGGATTTGGCTGTAAATGTGAAATTTGTCTGATTCACCTCTAAATAAAGATTGTTGTTTATTTCTAATCTGACTTTTTTTTGTCTCCATGAAAAGACAAGAGACATACACTATGTATGTACTATCTTGGACTACTGGTATAAGGTATTTGGTTGTTTTGCTATCAGAATGTGTTTTTTCCTCCATTTCGAACGACATACAATTATTAGATGAGATTTACATGAAAGAGAGGAGGTCAATGAAGTTGTTTAGTATTCTAAGTTTTGGGTGAAACAAGTGCATTGCGTCGGCTAAAATATCAATTCGTATTGGGGTGAGAATCCGTGCATGATTGCTCTGTCTGGAAAATTAAAACTCTTACGCCTTGACTAAAATGTCAATAGTTACACATGTGTTTTCGACAACAAAAGGTAAACAACACGCTTCAGCTACAGTAGTTTTTATGGGTTTTTGTGAAATAACAGTGAGTATTCTGCATTACGTAATACGAACGTTGAATGCATAACATTCAAACAGGTACTATGATATAGCAAACAATATATATAAAGGGGCTAGTCTCTAATCTCAAACATCCGTATTTAATTACATATCCAGACAGAATGTTAGACTACCTGAATGCTGACATGATTATATAAAAAATGCTATGAAATAAAATTAACAAACGGTTCCTACTGTGAACCTGCAGAGAACCAAAATTAGTAAATGAATGCATGCACACGCAACTGGTCATTTCAGGGTGGTAAATGTAAATAGCTACCAGATCATAGTGGTTGGAACGAATCACCAGGCAGTACTTAGGCTTTTGGCTCTTGAGCTTGGAGATCTTAATACTGCGCAGAATCATAGACAATCATTTCGGACGATCGGTTGTACTTACCTGCACCGAACCAAATACCGCTCAAGTTTTGGACGGTTGGACGCCCTGGTCTGCTACTGGCACACCCCGCAATCCCCACAACGACATTACAGAAGAGCAGGATACAGCCAATGACACTGAGTGCCACAATGGCATAGTAGTTGACTAGAAAATAACATGAAAAACAAAGCCATAATTACAAATTAGTGGTGTGTTATCATCAATATATGTTTTGACATGAGCAGTCAGGACGGTCGGTTCACGTTGGCCATCACTCAATCAGTAAAGAAGACAATGATTGGTTGAAAATGTCTTAGTTGTTAATGACTAGATTTAACCATAAAGTCGTACAGCAGATGCATCTCACTTTGGGATTGTTCAAATATACATGAAAGATAACACGTTCAAAAACCTGTGTCAATCATCGAACAGTTCTGAGATCGCGTTTGTAATCGCTGTTTACAGACATTCTGGTTAAAAGGCATATTGTGCTCTAGAAATCCAGAATTGTATTTTCATTTTACATTTTTTCCCTGGAAGATACCAGTAATATAATAAATTGATGACACTTTAAATCGTTGCTAATTTTTTGTTGATAATCATGATGTAATAAGTAACATGCTGGTGAAAATATTATATATGGCAACATGATATGTAAATAAAGGAAATACACATAAATTAATTGAGAAATAATGACGAGTTTCACGTTGTTGAAATACTATTTCACATTAAAACAAAGAAACCAATTATGTACTAAAACTAATAACTTTTAATGCCATTCAACAACACGAACAAAGCACTCTAGGTAATGTATTTTTACCATGCATCACGAACAATATGTATAAACCGACCCAAGGCAAGCTATTCATTCGAATGCCGGACATTTCAAAGCTTGAATTTAAATATCAGCATATTCTGTTTTCAAATTTTGTTGTGGTGTCCAATGAATATATCGAAATACTGTATTTTTTTTTTTAATTTTGCAGTTTTATTGAAAGCCGAATTATAAAAGGATTTTTTCAGGAAAATTATCAAACGAACGGTCGTATTCTATACTAATTTTACCATATATTTTACTTAATTTCATTCCATTCTTGAAAATATCAACCCAACCCTAACCCCAACCCTGACAATAACTTTCACAGTACTGTCTTAAATGTTAAATTTCCACAGTGGGCAATTTCATAGTAATGTTTATTGTTAATGTACAATATTAAAGCAGTTGATTTTGTACATCAGAATGAATCCATCAGTCTCGGGACGATGAATCTTTAAGTTACATCAGCGATATTTTGTCTTCCACAATATCGTCCTTTGAACACTCATTTAGAGGTGCATTTAATTACTCTAAATACCGTGTAGATTATACAGGATGAAATCGAAGACGAATTCCATTTTATATTGAAATGTCCCTGTTATTCGAACCTCAGAAGAAAATTTTGGAAAAGATACTATTATAAAAAACCTAGTGTGTTTAAATTGATAGAATTCTTAAATGCAAGCAATACAAAAGAAATAACAAACTTGTCTAAATATATTTAGGCAGCTTACATTTTAAGAGAAAACCGCAATTGATAGCCTAGTTTACTCTCTCCGGGTTTGTATTGTTTCTGTGTTTTTTGTATATTGTTATATGTTTGTAAATCGTCTATGTGTTGTTTGCTTTAACCAATGAGTCACACGACTCAAGGTAATAAAGAACTTGAACTCATAACGATTAACTTTTGCGTCCGACAACGAAAATATGCGAATTCAAATGCAGTGACGAGGAACCGACGCTTTGATGGTCAAAATTTATAAAACGTATTTCCTTACTTGGCACGATACTTTCACAACGGGTACACCTTTACAGGCGTCCTGTCGAGACATATTTCGTTAAAAGCATACGTGATCGTTATCGAAATGGAAACACTCCCACACACCACACTGTTTACTGTAAAACCCTATATGGAATAAAAAAAAACATAATATCTACCGTGTTGCTAAGTATACACGCCGCTTATATCCTCGTAGTATCGAGCACGTTACTAGAGGTCTCTATGGCGCATTATTGTGATTCATACACATTAATGTCGGTTGATAGAACAATTACTCTTGACATCTCGAATTCACAAAATGGAAACCAATGCAAAACCATGCATCAACTCTGTCTACCAACAGTACCGCTTTATAACCATACAAGTTCATGGTGAATCATACAATAATTCCGATTATTATTTACTAAACTCGATCGATATGGTATGGATATCGATTCTAGGATAGAAATGGTTAAACATACACTGAATGAACTTCATGCACCATAATAAAAAAACAGCACTTACCGATCGCTTTGTGACGTCTTTTGGTGTAATTGTAATGAAAGAAAATGAAAACGATAACCCGCCAAAGTACTAAATACTACAACATCGAAATCCAAGGTTCTTGGAATGTATAAGTCCTAAAAAAATACATCTTGGAAACCCGCTTTCTATTGAGTTGTTCTATGTTGAATATCACTGGAAGGTAAGAAACTAGTTTTCTAAGACCACTTTCGCGTAACCCGGTTGAAACGATGCAGGTGGTCCGGAATTATTCCACTATACATAAACGCTCATGTACTGGGTGTTTTGAGCTGATGTATGTAAATCTTAGTAATATGCACAGCTTCTGAACTTCTTGTCAAACATAAAACAATGAACTGAAAATAAGATATCATCCATTTCATTTATATACTTTATAGGATGGAAATATGTGCGTCAACCAATCTAGCTTTATGCTGAAATTCTGAAAACTAAAGATATTCATAAAGTAAGTTTCTGCCAGGTACAGCTGGACCCCTCTATCTACACGCGCCCTGGCACTTTCTTGCAGGTTCAGCTATTCCAACCGCATAAGTGAAAGCGACCTAAAAAAAAGTATATATGTCACGATGCCAGCCGATCACCGAAATAACTCGTCTCTCCAGATACCTGCAGTAATTTGTTCTTCTCTGTATTAATATTATCGTCCATAACAGCATGTTTAGTACTCGCGGAAAAGTTGCCGAGGTAGTTTTTTTTTTTTTTTTTAACATTGAGGGTTCGCACTTCCAAACAAAATCAGAGGTCCACATCGGTGCGTGCTTTGTTCAACGTTGCTAAACCATGTCTTAATTTGTCTGTAAATAGGAACTTGGAGTTTGCAGCCTAATCTGACTGTTTAAATACAGCAATGGACACCCTATTTCCAACATGTATGTTTTTGCTGTCGGTTCTGCATTATATTCTTAATCCACGTGCATTTACACAATTGTGTCTGATATGACATGTTGTAAATGCATCCCTTCCTGTCGCCTCCTTTTTACAAGATCAAAGGAATTAGATACTTGTGTTAAACGTGCTTAACACCAAGAGCGCAAAATTTTAATTCGTTAAAATATGAATCGATTCTATTTTAAAAATACAGTTGTCACAACAGCTTTTTCAAGAAAGATTTACACGGTAATCTAGCCTTTACTATTACAATTCAAACCTTAATGTTAGCATTTCACTTTGAGACTTTGTCGTTACATCAGTCTATGTTGGTGTACACCGAGCTATAGAGCACTGCTACACATTTGATAGTGGCAGCACAACAAAAACTGTCTGCTAACGTGGGATGTTTTAAACGTCCCCAGTAAGAACGACTACAGTGTAGGATTACCCTGGTCATGTCATGACTTGGTTGACAAATGCCTATGTGTCTCGGCAAAATTATAGCAGTAATCGATACCTCAATGACAGGAGGACGCTCAACGAAGAGTTCAAACTGTTGAGGGTGTTGACTACTAAATCTTCGAATGAAACGGATTTCAGCAGAAAAGTGATATTTTCTATCCTCCTTTTTCGTTAAAATTTGTAATTTGTAAAGTTCTTTCTCGAGTTGTTAGGATTCTGACTGTAGACTGGTGAAGTTTTTGTTTGCACTGACACAATAAGATATGGGTTTTTAGTAAGGTTACAAATGATATCGAGTATATATAACGATAAGGTGATAAAACCAACAACCTTACATTCATTGAGTTGAAACAGTAAGACCCATATTTATCAACTTAGATTCATAAGCTTCATCACGGAGTTAGATATATATATATAAGATTCCGTAGCTTCATATTTGAATATTAAAAAAACAGCATTTATTTTCACGAAAATGTGGTAATTTTGAGCAGCATTCAGATTGGCGTAATCGAATCTTCAAAGCAGATAGGCTTACTTAAATATGACTACTTACATCCCAGAAGATTTGCCGAAGTGGTGTAGTCGCTGTAGGTATAACATTTGCTTGTGGAGGTGCCAAGAAGGCTTAACTCGACACAGATCCGAAAGAGGCCAGCAGCTATTTTGGTCGTTCCGACCACAGTTTCTATGACATACCAATAATGTGTTCCTAACGCCACTGCCTGTAAGATGAACAGTAGCAACGAAAGACAACCACCACAAACCACAGCTGCAGATGCCATAATTGCATGTAACTACGTGCCGTGTACAATGTGTACTGCACCCGATAAATATCACAAATAACAGCGTCACAATAAACCCGGTAGAACGTAGCACGTGACCAAAAATCGTTGCGTGTCAGTGCAGGTATCAGTTTTTCTTCGAAATACCAACATTTTCTTTCACTTTCATTTTCGAGTAATTTTCTGAAAATCCATGAAAAGTGTATCGGAACTTTTGTCTTTAGCTATACCAAACAGCAATTTGAAATATTTATTTATTGTTTGTTTGTTTATTTTGATTGTTAATCTTATTTTCATACCTGCTATTTCCTAAGGTTTTTCAGCAGACAAGAACAGAAAGGAAAGCGAGAAGAATGAGTAAAAGTATTCAGTGAAAGTTGAGAAAGGAAGAATATAGCTGGAGTAGAGATAGAATCGACAGTACTGTTTGTTCTTATAGTTCACACCTACGTTTTTCGAAGTCGACTCTGCGACCTAAATGGTTAAATTGATTCTTAATGCGAGTGATGGCAGAAGTATTTAGCAACTAGTACAAGTGTATGAATGCGTATGGCCGGTAAAGTGTGCAAGTGTGTCAGGCGTGTAAGAGTGTGCATGGGCTAGGGTGTAAGAATGAGTACATGCAAGAACGACTATATGTCACTCAAATATTATGATATTCCATGTATATTGTTGAATCTTATCAGCTATAAGGCTTTCAAGGAGATCTAAATTGAAATTGGCTTGCTCGATCTAACCTGTGATTAACTGTACCCAGCACTGGGACTCGTCATTGATACAACATCATACAGCTGTTTCGTCCTTCTAGGACTGGTCAGTGATACTACGTCATACAGGTGTTTCGTCCTCCTAGGCCTGCTCAGTGATACTACATCATACAGCTGTTTCGTCCTTCTAGGCATGGTCAGTGATACTACATCATACAGCTATTTCGTCCTTCTAGGACTCGTCAGTGATACTAAGCCCCATAATAAAGTAAATTTCGTTATTTTCATATACCATATAATTTTAGAACAGCATCAAGTACATGTGTATTTTCTGAACCATGTCACTATCCGAATGAATTAAAACGTGACATGCAGGTTACGACAAACTTCATTATTGAGAGAATCCCTTTGATAAATTGCATGAGGAAGGAGGCTCCTCTGAAATAACAAGTGTATAGCTTATATCTTTGCTACATATATAACATGGGCTGGGGAAATTCGTACCAGGTATAATAGCAGGGGCGTTGTTATCACTACAAACCTACCTGGAATGTTTATATGGAACGGAAAATACATTTAATAGGATGTGTCTTTTAAGATACATTTGATACCGAGATATCTAATCAACAGAATATTAATGTATTTTTTCCACTTTAAAGTTACACCCCTCAGACATTAATTCAGTAATCACACACGCCGCACTAAGATCATTCTGTTATACAATGAACATGGAATACACTCCTTGTCATTGATACACGTAAATTTGCGAAGTTTGATTTTGACGCATCTCCGAATATTTTTATTAACAAGGGAAAGCAATTAGTGATATTTGTGACAATTTTAGCGCTTGAGGGTAGAAGTTGTAAGTAGTAGTAAACTGAGGGAGTAACTCGCCCGGTATCCCCAGGTATGCGGTACCAGGTACCCCTGTCCCCACCTGCCTTCAAGGTACAACTATCCCCGGTATCCCCAGGTATGCGGTACCAGGAACTCCTGTCCCCACCAGCCTTAAGGGTACATCTAGCCCCGGTATGCGGTACCAGGTACCCCTGTCCCCACCAGCCTTAAGTGTACATCAAGCCCCGGTATGTGGTATCAGGTACCCCTGTCCACACCTGCCTTCAGGGTACAATTTGCCCCGGTATGTGGTACCAGGTGTCATCTTCCTCGTGGGATTCCCCGTTATGAGGTGCCAGGTGATATCGGCCTCTCAGTATGCGACCTCCTCCCCATGATACTACCAGGTACCACCATAGAAGGTAAATTCTATCAACCGGAACTACAAAATGTGGAAAAGAACGAAGATGAATTATGGAAAATTTCTAAAATCTGAAAGTGGGGAAAAGGGAAAGTGGAATACTTGCTTCAATTTGAGGAATGGCCAAAACAATTTAATCAAGAGAAATGAGGAAGATATAAACACCATTTGTCATCGTTACCATCATGAATCTCTACCTGTACCCAAGCAATACACCATGTTTAGATGTCTTTCCCGATAACAACCCCTGGTCATTTAAAGTACAATTTGATGCTCCACTCAAAATGTATGGTTTTGTGGATGATCTAACTTCTCGAGTTTCACACTCGAGACAACAGTATTTCCGTGGGATGTGTACTGTAGTTGGTGTGATTCGTTTACCCTAGGTAGTAAACAATTATTGAAAATGAGACAATTGTTTGGTAATGACAACACAGCAGCAGCCGTAGTAGCAGGACGGGTTTGGTTTCCTACACCATTTTACGACAAACATTTCTGGACTACAGCAACAGTAAAGATTTGTTTTCAGACGGCCAATGTGTCTGGGTCAACGTCGTGTGGGAAGACGTTCTTTGTCAAAACTCGATTACAAAATAGTTTGACCAAGATATCACCGCCTCCACACAAAAGGATGTTGGCTTTACAAAAAGAAACGATGGCAGCCGTTATATGACGTCATCAAAACAAATGTTGTTTCATCGGTCCAATACGTTTAAGGCATATCATGATATTTGGATCAAGAAAATTTCCTCAACTCCGAAATATGATTTTAGACGACTTGATGTCAATATCTAGCAGGTCCATCGTATCAACGAGTTGTTTACAGAAGAAAGAAGTCATCACAGAAACTTATCTGTCATCGCCACCAATAAAAAATCCCTATTACAACAAAATCCAACTAGGAAGAGAAACTGTCTATTAAGTCTTGTTTAATAGGCCAATAGACAGACAACAGATCATGACCTTTGCTCGGCAGATTTACTCAGAAGGTTCGGGAAACTGACGCAATTCATAGAAGCCGTCAAGAAACCTTATGGATATCCTGTCGTGAACCTCAACAAAACCACGCCTGAGTAATTTAGACTGCAAATAAATGTATTAGATAACTCTCGTACAAAAAAAAACCCCATAGTTTAACGGAAACAAAATTCAAGCCACCACGTTATCACATGTGTTGTCTGTGAACAAAGATTGCGTTCTCGTGGTATACGTCAAGGAGTCAACATGTACGAAAATTGTACTAGCTGTGGTGTCCTCATTGACACCAAGCGTAAATCAACACCTTAAAAACAACTGTTCGGGGGAAAATACCAGGAAACGATGTTTTGAAAGTAGAGATGGCACCTAATGAAAGCCGGACATGTTAGCAACGCTTAGAACGAATTAAAAAAACCATGAGATAAAACTTGGGCAGTGTAATCCGAGAAAAGATACCAGATACGGTGTTACTAGATAATAAGTGCTAGACCTTTTACCTACAATCACTACCCACTGAAACGGAAATTGGGAGATATTTTTCGTAAAAGATAAACTGGATCCCAACCCTGTCAACAGGAAAGAAATGGTACAACAATGGTATCTTCACAGCACTATGATGGACATGAAAAGGCTAAGTCCACAGAGAGCAAAAGTAATGAAAGTCCATAATTTTAAGAAATTTGAGAAGAGTACTAAATCTCACATATCATAATCGTCACTCTAACTGTAAAAGGTGGGGTGCTACATCCGCGTACTGGATAACATCAACTGTACCATTCTTTAAGTGTTCCTTTAGTTGTCTAAGGCGACTGTCAATGTTTCGGTAGCGTTTGGCTCTCTGTCTTTGTTGTCCTCCTACTGTGTGTTGAATGCGTGTTATCTCGTTGCCTGCTTGTATTTCCTGCAAGACGATGTTGTAGATGTTTTATTATTTTTCATTGTATCATGTCTCTAATTATTTTATTTTATGTCCTTTTTTGGCTGAGTTTTTTTTATACATGTAAAGTGAGAACTACAGGTAAAAACACATGGTAACCGAACTAACATTAATGATATAGACTATAACCACTGTAAAAACAAAGTTCCGCGTACATGTTTATAATCTGTATGCGTTCGAGGATACCGCCCTTTATATAGCAACAGACCGTAACACCTTGTTTACCTGTAGTGTAGGTAATTACTTGCATGTAAAGGAATAAGATTTTATTTCAATGCTGTTTGGCAGCTCTTCAGAGGATTGATATATATAGAACCAGAAAAATACAAAAATTATCCTGCGATTCGAGGAGAAAGTTTACTGCATATAAGATTATACGTTCATTACTTAATAACAATGATAAAAGAAGGCATAATGTAATTATCAGATTACATTTATGATGGCCATCAGAATAGGATCTAGGGGACGGGGACAGTTATCTGATATATTAGTGGGGGATACATTTATGATGGCCATCAGAATAGTGTGTAGGGGACAATTATCTCATATAGATGTGGGGAGTGGGGGGGTATGTTTATGATGGCCATCAGAATAGTGTGTAGGGGACAATTATCTCATATATAGATGGGGGAGGGGGTATGTTTATGATGGCCATCAGAATAGTGTGTAGGGGACAATTATCTCATATAGATGTGTGTGTGTGTGGGGGGGGGGGGGGGGGGGGGGGATGGATGTTGATGATGGCCATCAGAATAGTGTGTAGGGGACAATTATCTCATATAGATGTGGGGAGTGGGGGGGGGGGGGGGTTATGTTGATGATGGCCATCAGAATAGTGTGTAGGGGACAATTATCTCATATAGATGTGTGTGTGGGGGGGATGGATGCATTTATGATGGCCACCAGAATAGTGTGTAGGGGACAATTATCTGATATATTAAGGGAAGGTACGTTTATGATGGCCATCAGAATAGTGTGTAGGGGACAATTATCTGATATATATGTGGGGGGGTACGTTGATGATGGCCATCAGAATAGTGTGTAGGGGACAATTATCTCATATAGATGTGGGGAGGGGGGGGGTATGTTTATGATGGCCATCAGAATAGTGTGTAGGGGGCAATTATCTCATATATATGTGGAGGTGGGGGGGTTACATTTATGATGACTATCAGAATAGTGTGTAGGGAACAATTATCTTACATATTAGGGGGGATACATTTATGATGGCCATCAGAATAGTGTGTAGGGGACAATTATCTCATATATATGTGGAGGGGGGGGGTTACATTTATGATGGCCATCAGAATAGTGTGTAGGGGACAATTATCTCATATAGATGTGTGTGTGTGGGGGGGGGGGGGGGGGGGGGATGGATGCATTTATGATGGCCACCAGAATAGTGTGTAGGGGACAATTATCTGATATATTAAGGGAAGGTACGTTTATGATGGCCATCAGAATAGTGTGTAGGGGACAATTATCTCATATAGATGTGGGGAGGGGGGGGGGTATGTTGATGATGGCCATCAGAATAGTGTGTAGGGGACAATTATCTCATATAGATGTGTGTGTGTGGGGGGGGGGGGGGGGGATGGATGCATTGATGATGGCCACCAGAATAGTGTGTAGGGGACAATTATCTTACATATTTGGGGGGATACATTTATGATGGCCATCAGAATAGTGTGTAGGGGACAATTATCTGATATATTAAGGGAAGGTACGTTTATGATGGCCATCAGAATAGTGTGTAGGGGACAATTATCTCATATAGATGTGTGTGTGTGGGGGGGGGGGGGGTTACATTTATGATGGCCACCAGAATAGTGTGTAGGGGACAATTATCTGATATATTAAGGGAAGGTACGTTTATGATGGCCATCAGAATAGTGTGTAGGGGACAATTATCTCATATATATGTGGAGGTGGGGGGGTTACATTTATGATGGCCATCAGAATAGTGTGTAGGGGGCAATTATCTCATATATATGTGGAGGTGGGGGGGTTACATTTATGATGACTATCAGAATAGTGTGTAGGGGACAATTATCTCATATATATTTGGTGGGGGTGTGTAGGGGACAATGTGTGTGTGTGGGGGGGGGGGGGGGGCCATCAGAATAGTGTGTACATTTATGATGGCCATCAGAATAGTGTGTAGGGGACAATTATCTCATATAAATTTGGTGGGGGGTGGATGGGGGGGTGGGGGGGTGTGGGGGTTAAATTTATGATGGCCATCAGAATAGTGTGACATTGCTTTTAAGCCTCACTTACTAACACCAGACATGTTATCGTAGGCGACACTTCCTCTAAGCCTCACTTACTACCACCAGACATGTTATAATCACTTTAGAGAGTTCTAAACAATTAAAAAAAAAGCAAAAACTTTGATTTCAATGATCCAATTTAGCACATGACAGTAACAGTTGATTACTGTACAACAAAATTTAAAGCCTCACATGGGCTTCCATCTTGTGAAACAGTTCCTTTATCTTTGCTAAATTGATTTTTAAGTCAATATTGTAAGGAGAAAAATGATATATTGTACCGACCTTTTATGACACACAAGAGGCCTAGCGGCCTTGACGGTTACTTGAGATAAGCAATGTTGAATATAAAGGTTAAAGGACAGACATCAAGCCATCATCCTTCACTCATAATTCTAACCAAGTTTGAAATATTTCCTATGAAAATTAAACATTCATGAAGAGTATTTGATTCTAACATATCTGGGTCTTGAGAAGATCTGAGAAAAATTCAAGTCAATTTGACCCCTTTTGGCCCCGCCCATCAGCCCCTAGGGGTCAGTAAGGATCAAAATTGGCATACCATCAAGTCGTCATCCTTCAATCATAATTCTTATCAAGTTTGAAATATTTCCAATGTAAATTAAACAAATTATCCTAAAAAATCTAGTTTTTCTACATAGATTACAGTAAACTTTACCCCTTTCCCACAGAGAAATGTGAGATCCTGGGGCCATGAAATTCACAATTTTGGTAAAGCACCTTAAAATGCTTCCATTCATGAAGAGTATTTGATTCTAACAAACCTGGATCTTGAGAAGAAGATTTTTTGAAATTAAAGTCAAGTTTACCCCTTTTGGCCCCACCCATCAGCCCTGTGGGGTGGGGACTGTAAAATTCACAATTTTGGTTCATCTTAGGCAGGGTAATCTTTCACCAAAATTTAACTGAAATTGGGTCTGGGGTTTTTGAGAAGAACTCAAAAATGTTAAATTTTTTACGGACGCACGACGCCAGATGAAGGTGATCGGAATGGGTCACCATGAGACTTTGAAACTATTCTTATTGTGGTATGCATCTACTGTTCAAACTTATGCATCCTGGAATGACCTTTCACATTTCGACAGCATCTACATGACATTCAGTATTAACTCTGTCCAACCTAAAGACAATTTAACAAAAACAAAAGAATTCAACAAACAAATGAGAAAGAAAATATATGTCTCTGTTTATTTTAATGATAATGATAATGAGATTCTACATAAACACAATTGTACCTTAGAGATATTTAATGTGTGTTATTTATGATTTTTTTACATCCAAATATCAGCTATGATCAAATTACATCAGGCTGGAAGACACAAGTAACTAATATAGTCATTATGATTGTTTACAAATGTCAGAAATAGTTTAAAAAAAAAAAAAAAAAAACAGGTTATCTACCCCTTTAGTGACCGAATTAAAGCATATTTATTTATATAATCATTGTTCCACACATAATTATGTAGATGTGAGCCCCAGCAGGTAACAAGTCACAACCGGTTGTTTAATCAATAGTCACCTTCTAATATGCACCTTGCCCACGTACTGCTCACAATTTGATATCCAGTGGTGTAATTTTATGTATAAACAAAACGTAATCTTAAAGGAAATAAGAATTTGACAGCATTTGTTTTTCCATACAATGGGACAAAGTCTCAATACCATAATTTCTAATCTCTTCGTTGTTAGGGATCTGTTCCACATTAGGCATCTTTAGTCTTGCCCATTTCCACTGCACGGGAAATATTTGGAAACAATGTATTTTTTTCCATTTGGAAGCATGTGACATCTTGATGAGCACAACAGGCAGAAGCAGTATTCTTAACATAGTGTTTACAATCAACAAAAAAAAAAAAAAAAAAAACAGCAAGAATACAAATATGGAGGATATTGACAAAACAAGAACGATGTCAGTGAAGCTTTCATGGGTAATTGTGATGGAAAATAATGAAGTTAAAGCAATAAAGAATCCTGACTTTGATTTTTTTTTTTCAGTTTGCTGATAAACATAGAACACAATGAGTAATGAAGCCATACCATGTATAGTTATCTGTCCTCTTTATTTCACTATCAATGTGGTGAATTTTCATTGTAAACCAGAAGATCGAAGATAGTATGCATAACTGCCTGTTGTCTGTCCTGGTGTACCAATCAATTATGTAGCACTACTGTCTACAGGCCAGTACATGTATGCTTACAACAAGGAAGAAGAAATAATTTGCTCCAATATGCCTATCCTAATTACATACATAATTTTTTTAAACCAATACAAACAGGTTAATTAATATAATTACTCACAAAGTAAATGAAATAAAGAAAATCGGTTAATAAATTATATGGGCAGTGCTGGTTATAACACTTAAAGGGTAGGATTTTAAGTGGATACACTGGTAACACAATGCTTCTAATGGAAATCGGTTAGGCATTGTACTTGGTTAAGAAAAACAATATATATACTAGTAAATAGAAGATTACATAAAGTTCATGAATAATCTGAAGGCGTATATAAATGAATACACATTTATTCTTTCAAAATATTCATTTACCTGTGAATATCACGGTATATCAAAGGAAAAGCAATAAAGACAATGGACGTAATTAATATTAATAACGGAGCAATAAATGCTCGCAGTGAAAAGTATTATACACTGCACATTTTAAGAAAGTTGCAAAAAGCACTACAAACTAAACTGGTATTTTGTAGTTTACACAAATAACCACAAATATATCTTACTAGATAACAAAAATAACTTGTGAATACAAAGTCTCTATTCATACGATCAAACAATGCCACATGTTACAATAAGTTTAAGATCTCAAAGTTTTTAATTTACCAACACTAAAAATCTAAATTGTATTTTTCTGGATTCAAAACCTGATAGTTTTTTCAGCATAAGGAATGTGTGTGATAAAACCACAGCATCTACCATAACCATTTACATTTTAACATAGTAGTTGCGATATATTTACAGATTTTACTCTCACGGAGGTTTACGAAATTCTTCAAATAGTAAACAACAATGTTGTCCCAGCAGGAGATCAATGATGTCATATGATAATGATCTGGTGACCAAATGATGCTACAGTTCCACTTCACAGAGAGTACACAGTGTTAAAGATCGATATAAATACTGACCACACGGAACGATTACTGCGACACCAATTACTTTACCAACAGTAAGACATGCGGTCTCACAATATGTTCAAAACGATTTGAAATATACGCGATACAAATTAGAAAGGGTTTGAACTATCACTAGACAGAATATTATTATTTTTAATGAAAAAATCAAGTGTTTGAACTACCTGCCGATTCTAACTGACTGAAGGTTTACCGTACATTAAGCCTTCTAGCAAACAGTGTTATGGTCCTATGATACACCTTGCTTATATAGGGGCCATGGTAGCTCAGTTGGTTACAGTGTTGCCCTACAGTACCTCGGGTGAAGATTTGAGGTATGTGGTTCAATGCTCCCTACCCCTAGCAGTCTCTTTTCTTTTACAGGAAGCTGATAAACAAGCTGAAAAAGTCCTTGGCTGTTCACATGGCCACAAACAATGTTGATTTATCAACATGCAACTATATCAACATAATGTGTGTATTGACATAACCTTATAGTATTTGCTAAAGCATTCTTCGTTTAAATTAACATTTTAATAAACATTGATGATTTGCTAAGTTACTTCATCCTGCTATCGTCAATTTTCTAAGTTTTTGGAATAGTGAAATCATGGATGTCACAATATCTGAATAATGGTCCAGTGGTACAACTCTATGTATCAACATTGACATTTTTACAAAAACAAATGTAATTTTAATCTTTTTCAGACTTGAGGTGTCACCTGCCCAACATATGATTAAGCTTTTCTACAATCCACAGGCACTTAACATTGTTAATGGGTATGATATTCAGAGAGGAGAAGTGAATCAGTTAATAATTTAGTATACAACGAGGCATCACACAACAGCCTAAACATATACATACACTGTATTTCTACAAGCAAGACAAAGTCATAAACAGATGAACAATCCAGCTCCTCTGCAATCTAGGGTCTGATAAGCTTATATCATTTTATATTAATCACTCTTGTTGACCTGGATGTCATTCTCGATACTATAGGGATTACAATCACTTTTGCTTTCTGCACCCCTGGATAATGCCCTGGAAAATGTTGTAGCAAAGCCGAAGGCATAACCAGGTAACTTGATTGGTTCCAGGAGGAAATAACCAATCCTCCATGACCAATCACAGGCTGATACACTACTTTAGAAGATTACAAAGGAGAAACACCCAACTTCAGAGCCATTACAATATACAGTTATACGACCTTGAGATTCGTTTGATGTACATCAAAGGATCAAATTAGTCTTTTCATCTTGTCCACAAGGTGTTGCACATAGAACCTTCAATTTTCCAATGAAATATTTTAAGGTGTGCAGAGAGAGAAAGTGATTGCAACCCATGGGGTATCCAGGATGCCTGAATGAAAATATGAAGGGTTTTACTGGGGTGGGAACCGGACTACCCCGTGAAAATCAACATGGTGTGGACAGGAAAAGGTAACACCCATTCCATACTTATTTGCTGGGATTAACATAATGTTATATATATCCAGTAATACTTGACTTCAAAACAAAAATGAATTAACATGTAAATTTAAATAAATATATAGACAGCAATAGTATAAAGTAGATATCATCACACATGCTAATCTCATATAACCTTAACAGTATACAAACCATCTCATAACCCTGAGAATCCCGATATCTCCAATTATCAAAGATAAGTTTTCTGTAAATGAAAAAACTTGTGAGTACAGGTAAAGGATAACGACAGTCCAAAGAAAAAGTCGCCTTCATATTTTGACTCTGAATCTTTTTTGATTCAGTTGGAAGGCTCAATCAGGAGTTCTGCGAACCAATACAGTGTTTTGGAGTAATTCTAAACAAACCTTTGATTTGATAGCACAGACACCCTGTTAAGTCATCAAACTAAGAATGAAGTAGGGGTTAGTCTATACCGCATCTTTATACCATGCTTAGCATCTGTTGCTCTACCTTCCTCTCTTATCTGTTATTTCACTTTACTAAAACTGGTGATCATCTTTACTACATTCTTTCTCCCTCTTTCATATCAGTTTTTCAATCTGGCAAATGACTCCAACAGTAACAAATATATTATAAAATTGGTGAATACCTTTCCCACCTACTTCTACAATTCTAGAAAGGAACACTTCTCAAAAGCATTTAATAAAAAATTCAATAGTTTTATAAACAAGATTTTGAACACACACTCTGTCTTTATTAATCTCGACATTACTGCAGACATTAATGCACATCTTGAAAAACTTGTAGACTATACATATTCTTATTTATTAAGTCACTAACATATATACTTGTCGTATAATTCTTATCAACATTATTAGTTCTATCGAATTAGTATGATCACTAACACTTTCCTCTCATTACTTTCATTATCCACTTCTGAGTACATTATACATATTTAAACTACATGTATACAAATGGATTGCGTTTAGCTGTCCTCTCCAAACTTTTCCTTGCCGATCCATTCGAGTGATTTGGAGAACAATTTGTCCTGAAGTTCTACATCCTTGGCATTCTCTTCTATTTCAATTTCAGCACATTCCCTGTAAGATTATTATTGACGCATATAAGAATATAATCCAATCATTCTGTATGCAATTACAAGAATTTCAAACATTCCATATTAATCACAAAGATGTCTATTTTACAATTTTTACGAGCAAATGTTGAAATAATGTGTCTAAATACGAATGACTTTTTAACAAGCAAATATCTTAATACTATATCTAAATACAAATGACTTTTTAACAAGCAAATATCTTAATTATATATCTAAATACAAATGGATTTTTAAAAAGCAAATATCTTAATACTATATCTAAATACAAATGACTTTTTAACAAGCAAATATCTTAATACTATATCTAAATACAAATGACTTTTTAACAAGCAAATATCTTAATTCTATCTCTAAATACAAATGGATTTTTAAAAAGCAAATATCTTAATACTATATCTAAATACAAATGACTTTTTAACAAGCAAATATCTTAATTATATATCTAAATACAAATGCTTTTTTCAACAAACAAATATCTTAATTCTATATCTAAATACAAATGGATTTTTAAAAAGCAAATATCTTAATACTATATCTAAATACAAATGATATTTTAACAAGCAAATATCTTAATACTATATCTAAATACAAATGACTTTATAACAAGCAAATATCTTAATTCTATATCTAAATACAGATGACTTTTTAACAAGCAAATATCTTAATACCATATCTAAATACAGATGACTTTTTAACAAGCAAATGTCTTAATACTTGGAATATTACACCCTTAAAGCATACAATTCAACACTACAAACAGTTCCCCCTGATAATACATTTAAACATATGGACCAAATATACCACACTTTTATTGTTCAAACATATATTCTGTAAAGTTTTCAACTACCACATTTATAAATTCACACCCCTGCAAAATTGATTTTTTTTTTAACTTTTATTTTAAATTTTGAACTTTAAAAACATTTGTGGTACATGTATTGACGTTTACATCAGCAATGCAAGAATTCTTTATGAAAAGCTTGGTCATTCTTCCTTAGCACAAAAATAAAATTTCAAGAAATTAGACTTACTTGAATAATCTGCCTGATACTTTGCCTGCATGATCAGTCAGGGCACAGTAAAGCCCTGTCTGGGCTCCATCTTCAGCTGCCTTCATCAATAAACAGATAATTGGGAAAAAAGAGATGGCAAGGAACGCATTCTTCTGGAAAGGCAAATGGCGATAGATCTTGGTGTTTGCTATCCCTGGCAATGCACAGTTCACCACTAGTCCTGTGAAGTGAATAAGCAAAAATTTAACACATGTGATCTCACTGGAGAAGCTCTACATAAATGGACAGATATCAGACTGATTCAAACACATTACTTGACTTGCAGATGCTTTTAGGTTTTTCTTAAAGAGTTGTGAAGTAAAATAAAGACACAAGGTGAGATACAGTAATGAAATCCTAAATGTAATCTTCCAAAATTTGTTCAATTTCGTATGTTTTTCTTTTATACCTATTTTGCATTTCTACTGCACATTTTTTCTTTCAAACAGGTAGGATGATAAAGGCATCGTTGATTTTTTTTTTTGAAGAAAAATGGCCCCTGTTTCCTGAATGCTAATTAGGCTAAGGTATTCCTCAACATACCTGGCATATATTTCTAAAGAAAAATTGTCACTGTGTTATCATCTTTTACATAGAAATATTCATGATACTATACAGCAACAGTATCTTTTTAAGATACTGTATTTTGTAAATAACTTCAGTAACTCCTCATACTGGACAAAGTGTTATTGACATTTAAGTACATGTACATGAAACAGAAAATCTGAATATGAAATTCCACCAAAATACAGATTACTGACAGACTGGGTATCATTAAACATAGATATCATCAATGGGCTCTTAGTTTGCGTGTAATGTCACCTACCCTCTTCCCGTCTGTTAAGAGCCAGAGAGAAAAGTAACATAGCCAGCTTGCTCGCGGCAAATGCTTGGCTCGTGACGTATTCTCGCTCTGAATAACTGACATCATCATATTCAATTTTGCCAAGAGCGTATGCTGGAGCCATCTGAGTCACTATGCGACTTCCCTCGGCCTTCTTCAGCAATGGTAGTAAGAGATGGGTCAGTAAAAATGGGCCTGAAAAAAAAATTAATTCAGAAGTCAAAAATTGTTGTAGAATCCTATCTCTTATAAGGATTTGTTTTTTTTCTTTTAATATATACTGAAAACGTCCATGTATGAAACTATCTTTTGTCGTCATAAGATGAAATTAAGCAGCAATTGTGTTGAAGTGAGAGTGTAATCTTGTGTACAGTTGTTTCAACAAAAACTTCAAAAAAATGTAAGTAATTGAAAAGAAATCTTTTTTTTTACTTATTTCATGGTTGTTGTAATTGAACAGGAAAACACAAAATTGAAATAAAACTTGTTAATTTAAATGGATTAACATCAACTTTTAACTAATGCTATGCCTGAATATTAATAGAGTATTCAAATTTACCTAGATAGTTGACCTGGAATTGCGTTTCAAACTTATCTTCAGTCACAGCCAATGGGCACATCATCACCCCAGCACTGTGAATCAGCAGGTCCAATTTTTCCTCCTCTGTGTAAAAAGACATTGGAATTACTTAAGCATTCATTTCTTAGTTTTAAGCTGAAAGCCAAAAACATATGCACTGTTAAAGTGACAATACCGACTGCACATCAATCAATATTGAAGCAAGATGTTACTTCTCAGTAAAGAAAATTCAATGTGAAATGTTGGCTGACTGACTACATATACCCATGTCAGATTCAAACCATTTTATTCCAATATCTATATATTTGGGAGTGTGGAGCAAATCACACATGAAACTAAATCTATCGAAAGTCTGAATGTACGATGTACAAGTTGTCAGAAACCTTTGTTTTGCACATTTCAGATATAGTGTGAAAGATGTTTAAAACTGGTATCCACAACTTTAACAAGGGGCAGACTGAGTTAAAGTCTCATACAAACACAAGTGTTCATCTGTCACACAAAACTTAAGATCAAACTCCTGATTGTAGGCAGTAAAGGTTACGATTTTTCTTAATTTACTTTTAATTTGAAAGGAAACAAATGTATATCATAGGCCTCAAATTTAAGGCTTTTTATTGGCTATCTGCAAGTAGAAATCCAAGAATTGCAAGTAGAAAAAAATAATGACTTGCTTTTTTCAGCAAGTGGATTCATCAGATGCAAACTGTGAGTGCTCGTCTATTCCTAACATTTCACAGAATTAAATTGTTTTGAGTTTTGATTTTCAAAGTGTAAATATTGGGACAAAGCAGTTCTTCTATAATGTTGATATATATTGGATGAAGCAAGGTAATACATTATAAATCACAAAACAAAACACATTATTTGAACATGGAAATTTGCGATAATAGCAAGTAAAAAGTCATTTTAGCAAGTATAAATTTAAGGCACTTAAGCTGTTTTCAGCAAGTGACAAAAAATGTTTAATTGGAGGCCTGAATCATCAATACAACGTCAGTTCTACAAGGTCTATCTGACACCTCACAGACACCAAACTTTTATGTTTTGTGGGCTTACTTTTTTTAAAGCTGGATGCAAAATCCTCCACAGATTTGAAGGAGGCCAAGTCACATACCAGTCCTACCACATCAGCTTTCTTATATTTCTGCTTGATGCTTTCAATGGCTTCCTCTATCTGCTGTGCTGTGTGACAGGCAAGGTAAACACGGGCACCTGTAACATTATCATCAATAATCGTCATTAGACCAGAACTGTTTGCTAATTGGGGACAGTTGTACACTGGACATGCTGTATATACAGATTTTGGTCTCCTTCTCCATGCATTGACTTTTAATAAGTTTGAAACAGTTATAAATCAACTCACAAGTCCCTAGTCCTGCACTCATAGAATTTCTGGAAATGCTTAAAATTTTACTTTGTTGGACACCTTGTGCCAGCCATAAAGTTGAAAATAACTCTTAAAAATAATTTGTAGATGGATCACTGTTGAAATACTTGTTTCATTACATTTTTACAAGTAAAATATCAGATTGATAAAAAACTTTAATAATCATAATAGTGACGTCATTAGATGTTATTTTCAAGGTGACTGAATTTCATATTTCATGATTATGGACATTTAACTTAAAATCTTGAAATCATGCCTTGTTTCCAGAGATCTATTAATTAGAACTGCATGAATATATGCAAGAAAATTTCCGTTGCATAGAAGATTGTCCACAAAACAGATTTGGTCATAGTTTTGATAACTGATTTGTAGGCAAAATATGTCAGACTTTACCTCTTGAAGCTAAATCTCCTGCAGTAAACTTTCCAAGACCAGAGCCTGCCCCAGTCACAATAGCAACTTTTCCATTGAGCTTAGCTTCACTGAGACACCGGGCCCCTCTCATGTATTGCCTGAAATAAAAATATATTCACTGATGCATGAACTGATGATAAGCTAAGGCCTGGTAACCAATAAACCCACTTATATCTATAGCTGTTTGGTTGAATTACAGATCATCGATATTTCGTTGTCCTGCATGCACTGACTTTTAGTCAAAAGGTACTCTTTTACAATATTATGGTATACACGAGTGCATGGTCTGATGGTCTAGTGAAAGACAAAGCTACCCAAATAAAGAAATCTAAAAAACATTCATGTGTTTATCATTCATCATTGGTCTAGTGACTGTGGTGCTCTACAAACACTTTAGTACCGAGTAAAGTCTCAAGTGTATCGGTAAGTTTGCCATTAAAATTTATTGGAAGAAATTTAATGAAAAACCCACTGAATTGCATACGTCTATTATTATTCCAGAAAGAAACAGAGAGCTAGAATAGTATAGGAGGTCATAAGACCATCAGCCATGTATATAAAGGAGCATTTAATCTACTTTGTATGTTACTAGCTGATGAGTAGGAAACTAAAGACCAAGGAAAATAGAGGATTCACAAAAAGACAAAAAGCAGTCAACAGGTTCAAATATGCAAATATGAGGATTACTCTGACAACCTCCCACCAGATTGATGTACAGAAAACAATGTCAGGCAATATGGTTTGCAGTCAGTTTAGACACAAAATACTGAAAATCAATATCAATTGTTGCATTGCAGACAATGTGAATACCCCCAACCCCAAGGTTGTATAAAATGCTAAGTGTAAAGGGACATAGAGTGTTATTTGACCTCTATCATGGCTCAGTCTGTCCATGAAAAATGTATGTTAAAAGTCTTAAATAATGCCTTTTAACATAAAGCAGGATAGTAATAATGTGAAAGAGTGACCAGACCAGGAATTGAACCCTGTTCTCTGGTGTATAATCGACCAGCTCGACCATCTGAGTCACAGAAGCCTGCTCCATCAGTTGATAAAGAGTTATCGTTAAATCAAGTAAATCAAAGCCAACAACAATACATATACATATGAAATAATTAAAAAGATTTAAATTTAAATAACCTCGAACTTAATTCAGTTGTACCAATTAAGAATACATAAAATTTAATTATAAAATTTTTAAACTAGATAAATACATATGTTAAGTACATATATATTAATTACATGACCTGCTTGAAAACTATTAATGAACAACATCCTCCTAAAAATTAGTATGAATATTGACCACAAAGAGAATTTTATATTTAAAGCAAAAAATATGTTTTTAATTCTTTCTTTAACGACAAATGGCTGTTGGAACACTTCAGTTTAGTTGGAAGGCTATTTTTCTTCTCTACTCCCGAGTAACTAAAGGACTTTTTTTTAGATATTTGGTTAATAATCTTTGTAGAACAAGATAGGTATTTAATGTAGATCTCAAATTATAATGATAAACATCATCACATACACCGATACTGTTCTGCTCTGGAGCCATATTATTGACATCCATATAAATCAATACACATGATACTTAAGTCTTGAGTTCAAAGGGTAGAATATCACTTCCTTAAAAAGTTCTATACTTGGTGTTAAAACAGATTTACTTCATATAACTTGAATGGCTTGCTTTTGTAACTTGGTAATCTTAGATGTTGAAGCTTTGAATGAATGACACTAACTTCAAAAGTTCTATCAACTTCTGTTTATAGTAACATTTATTTATAGTAACAGTGACCTAGTTTTTAACTGCAGAAGGTTAAAACATAAACTCATGCAAAAGTGATGTTTGTGAACATGTGTGTACAGTATCATGACAATTAGAAATAAGTGCATCCTGTAGAGCAGTGACACCTGAATTTCTGTTTGTATTTATTTGCAGTGATGACTAGTGACTACCTAATAGGTTGAAACATGAACTCATACAAGAGGCAATGTTAATGTATTCTTGATGCATTAGTTTTGGACCCCTTAACAATCATTTGTCGCTAGCTATACTGTGTCAATGAAATGCCACCAAACACATACATAAATGACTTGAAATGTGGTCATACTATAAGATTCATTTGAAAAATGTCCAGTAAAAGACCAGTATTTTTCTAAAAAATATCAACATAAGAGACTTCAAATCCGCTCACCTGAAATGATGGACAGGTGACTGCACTTCATTTTCTGATGTTAGATTAAATTTTCTATTGTTTAGTCCTTATGTTTTCTCAAATAAGCCATATTTCTCAGTAAACTTCTTTTTAGTAACATGAACTATTTAAAGAAAGTTCTTTTTTTCATCTATCAGTGTACAACTAGTTAGACAAAGTCATATATGAGTCATCAAAAGTAATAATTTTAAAATCATCATTTTTCAATGCAAGAATGCAAGAGGGCGTGGCCTATTTTTCATGGTCGATAATTATTCATATGACAAACGACAACATAAGATTGGCATTTGACGATGGATTGATAAGTTATTTCATCATACCTGAGAGGGTGTTTGACATGTAAAAATGTGTATTAAGAAAGTTACACAAATTTGCCAAAAAATATATACTCAAAAAAATTATGGTAAATGGTTTTAATCACAAATTTTCATTCTTTCTGGAAGCGTAACATTTTACAAAAACCAAAATCATTCGAATGCGACGTCAAGCAGGTCAATAGTTCAAGTGATACGTTTCGACAAAATGCCAGTTCCGAAATATATACCGGTTAGGAACCGATGTCTAAACGATACACGCGTGTAAAAATCTTCATTAATACAGGGGAGTTAACTCTACTATTAAGCAGACAGCTACCGTACATGACATAATACTTTTGATTAGTGTGCAATAATGTTTAGGGAAATGTTCAAATATTCATAGGCTTTAAATGTCCCCCTCCCCCTCCTCCCTACCCTTAATATGAAACACGTGAAGCGTAGTAAACCTTTACTTGTCATGGAATATAAATATAACAAGCATTAATTGTGCATTTCACCTGAATGCATATATGAAACCAATCGTGACTCCAATAATGATCGGCCACCATGATTCAAATATCCACTCGGGGTCCGGCATATCGCCCATCCCCGGGATTGTCAATTTCTTCTCCATTTTAACTCGCCGGGCAGGTGTCGATCTAATGTCACGACTCGGTTGCTGGTAATGAATTTCCGGATAGAAATTAAATTCACTAATATACATATACGTTTCCTACAAGTATAAGAATCATGTTCTACATCTTTGACTTTTTTTATATTGGTAACAATGTAAAGTACGCATAATACTGGTCTAACGTATGAAAAGATAATTTGTTTAGTACATTCCGGCTTTTGTTTTTAAATTTAGTATCGATAATTCATTTCCTGTTTATATAAACAGAGGACACACGTGAAAGGATGTCAAGATTATCAAGATAACAGTTTCTACAGGTAATTTAAAATGACTTGATTATCAAATTTGTTTAATTGATGATAGGTTTTAAGACAGTCATATTAATCTGACGAATCCCATTCCTTGCAAATGCGGTGTCTCGGTTGTGACCTGCAATATACCGGCAAGCCATTGGCATTGCAAAGATATTGCGACAAACAGCATTATTAATTATTTGCTTGGGGCTCGCGCAGTGAGAACCAGCTATAAAAATTGGTGAGAATGTCTCTTTTAATATCTTGGATCCTGATTTTGAATCATCAATTGTTGGTATGAAATTTTTGCATTTACGCTCATCTGTTACATTTTTTTCCAGTGACAAATCTTAATCATGATTGATTGGACCAGCCCATTTGGTAGTGAAGACAAAGTTGTGCTAGAGAAACAATGAAAAATATTTCTAAGTTTTCAATATGACAAATATATCACACCACAGAATGGATGTTAACATAGTAATAATTTCTGATGGTCATGCATTCAACAAATATGTTTTTTATATGACTTTTGTGTTTCAGATCTTCTCTTATTGGCTACATGTAACCGTTAGAGATGAAATTTCCGGAAGTTCCGAAGAATGTTTTTAGGCTCAGTTTGTTTGGGAGCTTATGTGGAGCAGTCGTCCTTATCAAGTAAACTATTAAAAAAAGGATAGGAGACTACCACTTTGTTACCTCCCCTTCCCTTTCCCTTCCCTTTTTTCATTTGATGTAACATCAGTAAATTTTAAAGTATTTGTACCAACTTTGTTAAAACAATATAAACAAAATATTGCATGAAAGTTTAATATTTGCCTTTACATTTTGAACTTTGTTTATTGCAAAACATTTATAGTGCAACTTTATAACTTGTTTAAATATAACAATGATAACTTTTTTGTTGGCTGGAACTCAGAAACATACAGGGCTTGAATAGGAGTAATTAGAGAAAACCCAGTAATTTGGTTGGCTCCATATACTTCCAAGACAAGAAAATAATAATAAAAACCTGCCTTATCCAAGCCATATTGAAATTTTACTTACACCACCCATTTTGATTATAGTTATTATTAAATATTTGTTGATTGTATCAGGGATTACACGAAAGGGAAGACATATAAAAGTGAGGAGAGGATGACAGGCAAAACAGTGATTATTACAGGAGCCAACAGTGGCATTGGCAAAGCCACCAGCTTTGATCTTGCTAAGAGAGGTCAGTCATTTTAATTTGAATTTAAATAAAGGTATGTATGCACAACTACCTTGGTGTAAAATAGTGTAAAAAGCAGGTATTTTTTCCTGTCTAAGATAACTTTAGGTATAATCTTGGAATCAATGTCAAAGATAGCATTGGCCACTCTATGTAAAATTAAAAGAATATGGAAATGAAAAGGGGTAAAGGACCTCTGAGCTCTTTTGCACTTCTTCATTTTTCAATTTCCTGGATGATCAGGACTAGTCAAGGAAGTTATTGTTCCACCAAAGTCCATCTGCAAAATCGAAGAACTCTACTTTCAGTAAACTGACATTTTCTTCTTGTAGTGTATGTCATTATAAACAAGCTACATGAAGAATATTCAAGTTAACTCATCCAGAAACTGAGGTGAAAGCTTGAAGTCTCTTGATCTCCTGATTAAGTTTCAATGTACAGGGTTTAGATAAGATGTTAAATCTTATATTATGCTCCTCGAAGTCAGTCAGTGTATTTGTATGTCATAATTTTGTCCGAAGCATAACACAAAACCTATAAGAGGTATCAATACAAAACTAAATGGGTAGATAAATCTTAACAAGGAGAAGTGCTGTGCACAAGAACCCTCACTCTCTTTTGCATAATCTAGGAGTTAGTGTCACTTGTTATTAGCTCACCTGAGTGAGTGAGTGAGTCTATGCCATAGCGCAGCTTTCTTCATCTGTCCTGCGCCTGTCAACTTTTCATTTAAACAACTTCTTCCGAAATACCAAAAGGCATAGAGATATCATATTTGGCAGGAAGGTTCCTTTGATGAAACCCAACAAAGTTTCCAAAAAGAAATGACCTTGACCCATATTCAAGGTCACAGGTCAAATGTGTTAAAACCTTTAAACAACTTCTTCCAAAATAACGGAAGGCCTAGAATCAATATATATGGCTGGAAGGTTCCTTTGATGAAGCCCAACAAAGTTTGCGAAAAAAAATAACCTTGACCATTATTCAAGGTCACAGAGGTCAAATGTGTTAAAACCTTTAAACAACTTCTTCCAAAATACCGGAAGGCCTAGAATCAATATATATGACTGGAAGGTTCCTTGGATGAAGCCCAACAAATTTGTGAAAAAAATAACCTTGTCCCATATTCAAGGTCACAGAGATCAAATGTGTTAAAACCTTTAAACAACTTCTCCCCAAATACCGGAAGGCATAGAATCATTATATTAGGCTACTATATTCCTCTTATGGTGTCTTACAAAGTTTGCTAAAAGAAATGGCCTTGACCAATCTTCAAGGTCACAGGGGTCAAATGTGTTATAATGTTTAAACAATTTCTTCTGAAATATCGAAAAACCTAGAATCATTATATTTGGCCAGTATGTTCCTTTTATGAAGTCAAAGAAAGTTTGTAGAAAGAAATGACCTTGACCGTTAGTCATGGTCACAGGGGTCAAATGTGTTAAATCTTTGAATGCAATTTTTTGTTTATCCAAAACATCTAGGATAGTGATATTATTCTAGAATAGGTTCTCAATGATGCCTGGTAATATTTGAGAACAGAAATGACCTTCACCCATATTCAAGGTCACAACAGTCAAATGTGTTAAACCTTTCAAAAACTTCTGATTAACCTAAAGGCATAGGATCATAATATTTGGCCAAAAGGTACCCTTAATGGTGCCCACATAGTGTGTGAAAAAATAACTTGAGGGTCACTGGGGTAAAATTTGGTAAAATTATTATCAACTTCTGATTGACCAGGCTATCATATTTGGCCAGTGGAAGTTTCACAAAGGCTTATATACAAATATGTAGAACCTTCCAATGACTTATTAAAGGGATATATTTGGCTGGGAATTTTCTTGGCATAATTTGGAATAAATTATTCAGACCTTTCACAGTGATGTCACACTGTTCCAAAAAATAAATTAGGCCAAGCTCCCTAGAGGTCTGAGAGGATTGAGCTAATTAATGTGAAAAACTACATGTTAGCCAATTACTTATGTTCTATTCACAACATTAAAGTACAGAAAACATGATCAGAAGGAGAATTGCAAGAGCTTCATTTTGATTTAAGATTCTTCATAATTATAGCATAAATAAATAAATTCTAAGTTGATCCCATTTGCCATGCAGTATTTATAGGCCTACAGTAAACTGTTATCAGTATATCTCTAGTAACCGGGGCTTAACTGACCATGGTGACATCACTTATTATATGCATGAAACATTTTATTATTGGTTTTGAGTTAGGATTATGGTTTAAAATTACCTTAATTTTTCCTGTCTTTAGATTGAATTGTTGCTATATATTGTTGACTTGTGTATCTGTGTTTGTAAACAATGATCTAAAGGGCAAGTAAGCTTCTGCTGTCCTGGGTCATCCGTCCAACTATAACTAAGAGTTTTCCTGCTATATTGTTTGACCATCTTCTCTCCTTGATTTAAAAGAAAACTATCAATAATATTTAACTGGAAACATCATAAGAAAGTCTCAATTTAAAATTGCACAGATGAGGGGGCTGACTACTAGGGGACAGAACCCATATGGAGTAATTTGTCATATTGCTTTAATCATCTACTGATCTACAGATATAGTCTGTATATAGTAAAAATATAGTTGGTCATAAAGATCCAGGTGAGGGATACAGGCCCTCTGGGCCTCTTGTTTTTCATACTTAAAATTTTGTCCAGAGCATTACACTAAAATAATTAGAGGTATCAACATGAAACTTTATAAGTAGGTAGATCTCAACGAGAAGAATGACAGTGCACAAGAACCATAACTCTATTTTGCATAATTCAGGGGTTTAATATGAATGTTATTTTTCATACTTGAATTTTGTCACATTCACATTCAGTTTAGCTATTGATAAGGTTTCTCTGTTTTGAAACCAATCTCTTGGCTAACAGTGAGCCTTAGTTTTGTTACAACATATTTGTAGAGCCAAGAGAAGATATGTATATTGAGTGGGAGACTCAAAAACATGCATTTTGAAGTTGAAGAACAGACTGAAATGTATCATTGTGGGAAAGTCAGTGGTCAGCTAATGCATTCCACTTAAAATGTTCTTTTTATGAAGTGTCACACCTAAAACACACCTGCACTCAGGCATTAGTGCTTAGAGAGGTGGACAAAGCTTACAGTATAAATAAACACACCAGTAATATGAAGATGACAAGAGAAATGAGTGAAGGATGATACCAGGCTTTACCTGGGCAAAAAGAAACTATCAATTTACCTCTACTTTATTTTTACTCTCTATAGAAGAACCTGGTTGGGCCAGGTATATCTGTTCCTTTGCCATGACTTTGCTTGACTGTAATTTAATCAGGAAACTAAGACACACCTGCAGAACCTCAGGAATAAGATGAATTAGACATGTCTCAGGGAATCAAAAACTTGCTAAATCCATCTACCCCATACATAAACTGCATACTAGTAAATAATAAGCATTGTAGCATATCTGATAAACTGTTGGCAGGTGCTCGTGTAGTAATGGCATGTAGGGACATGCGATCATGCGAAAAGGCCAGAGACGAAATAGTGAAAGAGACCTTCAATCAAGGTGTTTGCTGCAAGTACTTGGATCTCAGCTCGATGCAGTCCATTCGTCGATTTGCAGAAGAAATGAATAAAGGTACTATATTTATCTTAGGTTTGAACGATCCTGGAATGAGACCGGTTCATTGGTGAAAACCTTTAAGTAATTCGTGGAAATCTCTAACATTTATGACCATATTGTAAAATAGAATGCAATTAGATCCACTGATTTTGCATGTGTTAAAGGTATAGAGAAACCTGTACAATCAGAGCCCTGATTATACTGTCTGTTTTTACCCTGGTTATTCTGAAATCACAGGATGAAAAATATGTATGAAATTTGAGAGAGATTGAACAGTACCAAAATCAAACATGCACAACTAGAGATCAAGGAAAACAAAACACACTAAATTCCAGAATAAAATCTGTTGAGTAAACAAGCTATCACTCCGGATTATCTGTAATAGTTAATGAAATACAAGTAAAAATTTTAAATGCCAAAGTCATGTGACATGTTACATACCTTTTTTTTAAGGAAATCGTGTAGATGTTTTAATCAACAATGCTGCGATAATGATGTGTAAGCGAGCACTGACGTTGGAAGGAATCGAGCTACAGCTTGGAGTCAATCACTTTGGTAACTACAGCAAACCGTTCTTAATGTATTACATTTGGTACTGCTTGTGTCCATGTTTAAATAAAGGTAGGTGCATACCTTCTGTTTTTCTACTGGAATATTAAAAGGTTTGAAAGTATGTAGGCTTTCTTGCAAACTTTTTCAAATTTTCATGGCGAGATTTTGTGCTCAAAAATACAAGCTTCATTAAATATGTTGATATAAGGCGTCTTGTTAGTTGTTTATGAAATCATGAGATCTTAGAATATAAGGATAATTCAGCAATTTTGCCTTTTTTTTTTTTGTAAATAGGGAGGGTTTTCAAATATGGTTCTGGAGTGAATTTATATCATTGCATATTGCTGAAGATAGAATATGTGAGAAACAGATATTGTAAACAAGAATTACAGCAAATATAAATTGCATTTTAAAAGTGATATTATTTGTATTTTGGGGGTTTTCATGGTCTTATTCTCCTTACAGGAAGTTTCCTCTTGACCTACCTCCTACTAGACAAATTAAAGGAATGTGCCCCCAGCCGAATAGTCAATCTTACTAGTCTAAGTTACAAAACCACAAATATTAATTTTGACGACTTGAATTCAGACACCGTTTACAACGAAAGTGTTGCGTACAAACAAAGCAAGCTGGCATTAGTACTAAGCACTAAAGAATTTGCTAAGAGACTTGAAGGTAAGACTGACGGGTATTTTATTTGATAATATTTCAATATACTTCGTTATGCATCCATCTTGTCTTTATAAATTAACTTTAAAGTTGTTCTGTATTAATATCTTTCCTGGTCCTGTGTTCACAAATATTTGTATACTCCTCCTCTGATGTTACTAACTGTATCCTGATTAACAGGTACAGGAGTGACTGCTAACTTGGTGTACCCTGGAGTTGTGAAAACAAACATTGGTCGCCATACTGATGTAAAGAAATCCTTCTTGTCCCGGGCTGTCCTGGGACCTGCGTTTTGGCTTGTTGAGAAGTCTCCAGATGAGGGCGCTCAGACAGTCATCTATGCAGCAATAGAACCAAGTATTGCTAAAGTCACTGGTAAAATATTCATGTAAGTACAATTGTATATAGATATCAATTCTAAGACCCCTTATGTTCCAGTAAAAAAGGACTGGTTATCATCCTTCAAAATCAGTTTTTTATAAAAGTTAATTTTTCCTTTTTTTGCGGAGGAGATAGGAACATTTGATAACATAAATTTCAGAATCTTTGATGTCAGTTTCGTTTTTTCAGTCATAAAAAATAAAGAAAAACATTTCAGTTTTGAAAAGTTAAAACGTTTGTTGAAAGGGTCAGATGATATTTTACAACACTATAATGTAACTCATATCATTCATCAAATTACCCTCCCTTTGACTGTTCTAGTCCTACAATAAACTTGTCACACTGTCTCTAACACTAACACTTAAGGTTATTTTTCATCAGGCATCATATCAATTCATCTTTCATTCATATTGCATTCATATTGGCAATTAAATTTCAATTAAAATAGTCTGAAAACTATTCAATAGTAATATGTACATTTCTGTTATTTTTAGAAATATTATTTCCTATTCTCTCAAGTGTTCCCCTGTAGGTTTATTTACTGTAAGAGCTTTCTGAAAATCATGATCATCTAAATGATTGATGTAAAGCTGTTGTCTGTGTTGTCTAAGAGAACATGCAAAGCTTTGATGTGAAGTAGGACAACAAGTCGACAAAAGGACATCATATTGTTGTACTATGCCTTTGAATGTATCTTCACGTCCGTGAATACAATCAAGATTAGCACTTTTTTTTATTAATTAGATGTGATTCAGAAAGTGATCATTGTTACCATGGAGATTTAAGGAGATTCCTTGATGTTCTACAAGACTGTAATGACCAGTCTCCACTGCACAATCCCATGCTGTTTTCAACCAAATTTCATAAAGAATTCGGATATACAAACCAGAAAGTGATTGCTTGTTTTGATATGTAACCTTGTATTACTTTCCTGTTTGTGGTAAAAATGTGTCTTTGTCTGTTTCAAGTGATTTGGAGGAACAGAACATTCCCTACCTGCGTGAGACAGATGAGGCAGATGCTAAACGACTCTTCGCAGTCAGCCAGAAATGGACGCGACTCACATGACAGCAGCGTATTTTAGTGACATATATATTACATAAACATCAGTAACTGGTTTTCATTGCATCATTTCTCAAATTTTTATGAATAGTAATTGCTTTTGTCTTTCATTCTCTGCAATGCTAAAATCTGGGCTTGCAGAAAAAAGTTTGATAGCATTTTTGATGAATTTGAAATCTTTCAAATCTTTCATTATTGATTAGATGAAGGATGTCAGATTAAGATTTATATACAATTGTATGAGTATATTGTCTTAATTGCCATGACATTGACTTAACACTTGTTATTCATGGTGTCACAAGATGATATTTTACTGTGAAAAAAAATATTTAGATGAAATGAACCAGAATTTATCAAATTTCAGTCCAGTCAGTAGAAGTCTGTGTCAGAAATGAAGAATTAAGTACTAAATATGATGAATGCATGTAAGATGAATGACTGGAGAAAACATTTTGATATATGATGTGTGTGGAGATTATTTATAATAAATCTTTGAAAGTAAACATTATTGCCTTGTTCTTATGTACCTGTCAACAACCAGTGGAATTATCATAATGTGTTATTCCTGATAGCATCTATCTCTCATGTTTGTTTGCACTTTAGCCTTAGCTTTGAGGTCAAGGTTACGTTTAGTGTTACTAAAATTAGATTCATCCATTTTTAGGTCACCTGAGCAAAGCTTAGAGATCAATCCTTATCCGTCTTTGTCTAACGTCATCCATTAACATTTTTACATTTGTTTTTTCATGAAAACCTCTAAAGTGATTTCAATTTAATTTCGCAGAAAAGTTCATGGCAACAAACTAAAATTATACAATTCAAATTCCTATGGACCTGAAGTACATCGTCAAATGAGGGAAATAATTTTCTCAAGACCGAGATTGTGAAGAATCAAAGACTCTTCATGAATGGAAAGGTCCCTAGGTGCCTATCGAAATCGTAGATTTCATTATTCCTAGGTCCCCCGTTGTTGCTCTCAAGAGAGGAAGTAAAATTTGCTATAGATTGTATTGGAAAATGTGCATTGCACATATTTTGTTAATTTTCTGTGAGATATAATTCAGTCTTGGTTAGAAATATTGTCATCAGACAGCAGTTTGATGGTATGAAAATAATACGGACCTCACCCCTGGGGCGGGGCTTAGAGGGAGAAATTTGCTTGTATTTGGGAAAATCTTCTCTAAATTGTTATGGCATGGATTAATAAATTGACCCGTGGATAGAAACGTACCAAGATGCTTTATCAAAATTTGAAATTTAGTTAAACCAAGGTACCCTTTTTTCCTCTAGGAAAAGGGTAACTTTTACTGTAGTAAATACAGGAATACATGAACATAAAAAATAATACTTTTGAGTAATATAAATTACTATATTGGGAGTCATGTAGTGTCTGTTGGCCTCTTCCCAAAAAGTTGTATTCAATAAAAGATGCATAGTCTGGCCATTTATATAATTACTTACACTCAAATGCATTCAATTTTGAGCGTTTCCTTTTATCATGTAGAATGTTCCAGCCACTGGGAGAGCATGTTCAATGATGTTTAAATTGTGTCAATCAGATTTAGGGCCAGGGCTTACCATCAGTCCACTATCGGAATGCAACAAATGCCAACCACGTGAAAGAAATATTGAATTACATACAAGTGTATCATGTCATATTTAACTTACTTCCAAAGATTGGCGACTACCTATATAAGGAGAATAAGAAGATAGGATATCAATACATTTGTGCAAGTGTCTCCGACACAAAATTGATATTTTCAAAAATTTTAAGTTGTCCATTTAAGATTTTTAACATTTGTCTTTTACCTTTTGGTTTGTTTAATGTTATTTCCTTTTGGATCGCTCTGTGTTTTACCGTTTGATGGCCCTAATGACCTTTTAAGTGTTGATGGGCCATTAAGAATGTTATAATAATAATTTATAAGTTGTACTGATTTTCAATAATAATATAGAAGGTATGTGATGTTTCATTGGATTTGTAGTATATTTTATAAAAAATACTAATATCTTAGGTACCTATATTTTTTATTCATATGTATCCTACAGAATTGGAAATCAAGCACATGACAGACCCTTCTACAAATTTCTTGCCTAAATCTTCACCGTCAGTGAAATCAACATGAACAGCTTTCCATCAAGCATCATAAACGTGATTATTTCAATTTCTCTATCATGAATTTTCTATTACCTTTCTGGACAGCAACATCCCTTCATCCTCAAACATACAATGTTCAAGAGCTTGTTCCCAATATCATGATTTTCCTGCTAGATGTCAGCAGCTGACAAACTCACAATACAGGGTTTCGAGAGATTAAAAAAAATTATAGGGTCTCGTATCCATATGCTGTATGAAGTTAAAGGTGTTTTATGTTCGTCAGTATTCCTGGTTGTTCTCTTGGTATTGAACTTGTTTTCATTTCAGAACGTGACATTACTTACTTTGGTTGACTTTGCCTGACGGGCAGGTCAATGAAGCAGAAGACGTTTACCCTTTCAGAACACCTGCTCTTATTCTCTTCTAGTTTCACTGAATTTTAGTTTGAATTAAGAATCTGGTGACATTTTCTTGATTGTTTTTTTTTTTTTTTTTTAGTTTCTCTGTTGCATGGTGATATAAAAAGGGAATTTTGTCTTTACGTTGATAAATGTTATGTATGCCAGTTCATAAGTGATTGATCATGCACTACAGAGTGCTTAATTGGAAGTGAAATATTTCATTACTTATAGGTTGTAGATGAAATGAAAATCTGAAAATAAATTTGTGATGTGTGCATGACTTACCTCTCTTACATCTAAACAGGAATGATACTATTAAAGACCAAGTATATCACCTTACATAAAATGATATTTTACATCATACAAAATTTGCATGTTCAGTAATAATTTTCACAGGGAAGTAATCAACACTATGATCCCAATGGTAATTGATTTTTCCGGCCATATGGTGTTCCCGTCATGCATTTTGGGACGATATGTCCTCAGTTATGGCCCAGTGTTCTTAATGGCTTACATTGAATAGACAAAGATGACCAATCCTGACCATCACCTTTGGTGGTCATTTCAATGGTCAGTTATCATCAGTGAGGGTGAAATATTGATGATCTATTTTTCCAGTGATCCCTGTTGGTCAACTGCAATGTCTCTGATGCCTGATGGTTTGTATATGTGTAATCACGTGTGGTGTTGACTGTTCAGGCCCCACTTGTATAAAACATATGAACTTGAGATTTCCTCAAGCCCAGGTTTTCCTCAGCTAATATCTCCTTGAAAATATCTTGTATGAAAATTCCTCACGGAATTTCAGGACATCCTAGCCGATGCCTTCCTCCTGTTCCTTGAGAAAATTTTATACAAGCCGTTTTTGAGGAGATATCAGCTGAGGAAAATCTCGACCTGAGGAAATCTCAAGTTGAGATGTTTTATACAAGTGGGGCCTGATCTCTATTTAATGGTCAGACATCAATGATGATCAGATATTAGTGACATATCATTAGAGTTTGGTGATTATCTGTGTACTCAATGGTGGTTCAGTCTTTAATGAGATAATTCAATAGTTCTGGTTATAATCTCATTGGTCGATCAACGGGGATAGGTCAGTTTTAATATTGGTGATCTGTCACTGGTGTTGATCATTTCATACCAGATATATTGTGTGTTGATGATGGTTGGTCTTTTGTGGTCATTCATCATCTTTGGTCTTCATATCAATTTTCTGTGGTCAGTGATAGTTAAGTATTGGTGATCTGTCATTGGTATTCTGTATAGTAACTAGTGGACTTCGTTGTGATCAGGGTTCATTCGTGTGATCTTGTGATGAAGATGGCTCTGCCTTCTTTGATAATCCTTTTAGAGATGGTCAAATCTATCTTCGGTATGCTGTAGATTCTGTTGGTCATCGGTGTTGCCTCTGAAGTGAGAGAGGCTTATTAGCTAGGGGGACAGGAGGGATTTAGGAAATGGACATGGGAACAGGGTGGGTGGAAAGGTAGGGATTAGAGGATTTGAAAGGGTAGTGGAGGGGGAGGGGATTGATTAAGGGAGCGAAAGGAGTTAATGATGGGACTGGTTGGAATGGGAAGATAGTGTTTATTGGGGGTTGAGGGGAGGGGGTTAAGGGAGGGGAATTGGATAGGTTAGAGGAAACCAGGGAATTGGTAAAAGGCTTGGGAAAAATAGGTCTTCCAAGGGAAAGACAGTCAAGTGAAACACCGGTAGTTAAGAGTTTCGTCTGGAAATGATATAACAATCAGTCGCATGAATTCTAGATTCTTTATTGTTGTTTCGATGTTATAAAGAAATAAAAACAGTTCAGATATTGTACAAATGATATACAATTTAATAACACCTTTCAATACAGCATAGTCTAACAATGAATTAAACTTCATCACACTGTGGTTTCGTCCTTCTAGGACTCGTCGCTAATGTTAAGGGCTGTGGAACCTGGAAGTCGCACAAGGTAGAAAATTGGACGAAATGAACTTAAAAAATGATATCGGGGAGGTTCATTAATCCCAAACTTCACGATTTTTCATACTGGACGATTTCTAAAGAGCACTCAATATATGGATTTATATTCTGAACCACGCCATTATTGAATTAAAGCATGGCTTACAGCAAACCCCGAGGACGAAAAGACTGTACGAAAACACACAAGTAAATATCAGCTTTCGATACTTAAGTTAATGCTGATACATTGCCAGAAATTTTTTATATCAGATTAAGACTGAATAGAAGATGTAAATCAGTAGAACCCGTCCCCAGCTGGTCTCACCAGTGGTACATGGAATATGCAGGTAAGACTCCACGTAATATTGCATAATTTATAATCATTCTTCGTCCGGATATTTCAAACTGAAACAGCTACCGTCATGTATTGATAACATTCTAAATGCAAATCAATAAGTATTGATCACTTCCAAAAAGATTGCTTTAATAATCAAGCATTAAATCTCCCCATGGTTGAATATGAAGAAATAAAACCAAACTGGTTCTAATGATAGTCATAATATATATTTTAATGATAGTAAACAAGTATTTATCTGTTCAAAATGAAAAGATCAATTCTATAATATATTTTAATTGAATATTTGAAAAAGATGAGGTAGTTTAGTATGGGAAATCGTACTGATGAAATGTTCAAAATATTTTCAATATTTGCGATAATTGCAATCAATATGTTCACATGTGATATGATAACTGGGATTTAAGTCTGTATGTAAGGAGACTGTACCTGTTGATATGATAAATATCTCCTTTAAATCATAACATTAACAAATTTTAATTAAAAACTAGTTGAGTCATTTTTTAGGTGAAAATGGCACATAATTTCAGTTCACGCTAATTTTCGAAGTCCCATCGCTGTACAGGTAAACACGGCATCAATGTTACGTGCATCACTGAGTCATTAAGACGGACTGCTGTTTATATATACTAAAAAATATTGTTTTCTGATCAAAGTACATTTGATATCTTCTAAATGAAGTGTTTTATGCGTAATTAA